GAAACAGTGACTTGATGTTTTGGATACTCCCCACAGATCCTGAAACGACGGTTATTTTCCAGTATGAGATTACAAAAGGAGAGGCAAACACAAGTTTTTCCAAAGATAAGATACTGGGGTTAGAAATGTGGCCTCCTTTGGTATGAAAGGTACTATCAAAAGTACCTCAAAAGTACAGATGCTATTTATATCATTTCAATGAAGCATGTGTACGTGTGTGTACTCCAGTAGATGCAAGCATGCGACAGCTAGGAAGAAGTCGGTCACAAACATACCCTCCTATAGCATCTGAAATTGCCTAAAAGGCAGATTTGTAGATTACAGTTTTGAGTGTCTACCTCACTGGCCCCCTTAAAAAAAATGTAAGGGAAATCACATTGTCTATTCTCCAGGGATGGATGTACAGGTTGGGCAGCCTACAAATTCAGGAGAGAATAAAGAGCCTTTATAAAAGTAAAACACTTCACAAATCTGTGTGCCATTATTGTGCAGGGCCACACTAATTTTTTATGTATTATTGTGATCTGGGTGTAGGAATGGCTAAAGAGCAAGAATGTACATTCTGACAAAGTGCGCCAGCTCAAAGCACTTGATTACTTTTTATTTTCATGTCTGTCACAGCCACCATTTTATAAGTTCAACAAGAAAGTGGCCAGAATTATATACAGGAACATTAGAAAGAACAAAATGGGCAAAACAACAACAGTGTTCAGTTGAGGTTCCTAAGATCATACCAGTAAATACTGTAGGGGCATGAGGGCAAGATCCGGTACTTAAAACATAAATCATAGAATAAAAAGTTAGAAAAAAGCAAACATTTCAAAATGTTATTTTAAACTAAACAAGAAAGTTAAAAAGTTGAAGTGAAAATGAAAACAAATGGAAGCACGCGAAGGCAAATAAATAAACAAACAAACCAGGAGATGGAGATCTGAGTTCTAAACCTAGTTCTGCAACTAAGTTAAGAGACTCTTAGCTACTCATCTAAGAAATCAAGAGACTGAACTAAATTAACTTTAAGGTTCTATAATTAAAGATTCTTTAAAGATGTCAAATATAAAATTAACACCCAACTGATTTCTTCCTGTTCTGTAGTAAATCTCCCCTCATTACTCTGTGTTTTTGTTAATTTTGCTGCTGGCTGGGACATACACCATTACAGAACATTCTTCCAAGGGTTTGGGTTTCTTTGTGATGTTCAGTAGGCATGGATCTTACTTGATTTTTTTAAGGATTTTATTTATTTGACAAAGAGAGACAGCAGCAAGAGCACATAACAGCAGGGGGAGCAGCAGGGAGAGGGAGAGGGAGAAGCAGGCTGCCTGCTCCCAACATGGGGCTCAATCCCAGGACCCTAGGACCATGACCTGAGCTGAAGGCAGACACTTAACTGACTGAGCCACCCAGGTGCCCTAGGCAAGACTCTTATAAAGAAGTAAATTTTAAATAACAGAAATTTTTTAAAGTATATTGTCAAAAAATATATAAGAAAAGAACAATAAAGGGGCACCTGGGTGGGTCAGTTCGTAAACTGATTCTTGATTTCAGCTCAGGTCATGATTTCACGGGTCCTGGGATTGAGCCCTGTGTCAGGCTCCATGCTGGGTGTGGGGCCTGCTTAAGAATCTCTCTCCCTCTAACCCTGCTTCACGCTCTTAAAAAAAAAAAAAGAACAGTAAGGTAGCTATTTCAATATAAACTTAAATTTCAATAGCTCTTTTTTCTTTTTTAACTGAAGTAGAGTTAACATACAATATTATATGAGTTTCAGGTGTCCAACACAGTGATTCAACATTTATATACATTAGGAAATGATCACCACGGTAAGTCTAGGTACCATCTGTCACCATATAAAGTAATTTTAATTACTCTTAGTTGATAAAAGCATTTTTTAGTGTTCTTTAAGATACTACAAAGTACTAAAAAAGAACGAAAAATACAGTACAGAGTAATGAGTCACTGAAAGCCAATGCTTGCAGATGGGACAGGTAGGAAGTATATGAGTCTCATTTCTGTTGGCAATAAAAATGATTAATATCTTAATTATACTTCAAATGGAAAAACTATATTCCTAAATCCTTAAGAATGGGGCAAAATAGACATTAAAGAGACTTAAAAAGAGAAACAAAAAACCAACCCTTACGGCTTGGAGAAAATGAAATGGAATGGTAAAATTAGTCCTGAATCAATAGAAGTTACTAGGAGTTTCTCAGTGAAAATTTCTGTAACCTTTGTTCAAAAATAAAAGTTTACTTAAATAGCTCTGTAAGGAGATACAGGAAAATGGCAATACTGGTTGTCCCTGGAGAGGGAAACTGAATTAGGGTTTGGTAGATATAGGTAGGCCAAGAGACTTTTCAATAAATTCTTTTATATACTTTCTGGTTTTGGAACAATATAAAATTTTAAAAAATTATTTAACTGAAGATAATACATAAAAAACTTTAACAGGGCCTCATCAAAATTAAATACTTTTACTTTTCAAAAGAAAATTAAGACATGTCATAAACTGGGAGAAAATAATTACAAATCATATGTCTGATAAAGACTTGTATCCTGGGGTGCCTGGCTGGCTCAGTGGAAAAAGCCAGTGAATCTTGATCTCAGGGTTGTGAGTTCAAGCCTCATGTTGGGTGTAGAGATTACTTAAATAAATAAAACTTAAAAAGAAAAAAAAAAACTTGTATCCAGAATACACAAATAACTCTCAAAACTCAGTAATAAGATGAAAACTCCATGAAAAAATGAGAAAGGCATCTGAACAGACGTTTCACCAAATATATCCACAAATAATAAGCACATGAAAACATACCCAACATCATTAGTCATTAGAGAAATAAAAAATAAAACCAAGAGATAACACTGCACAACCACTAGGATGGCTATAATAAAACAAAAATATGTCAAGGATACAAAGCTGGTAGGACTGTAAAATGATGCAGCCACTTTGCCAAAGTTTAGCAGTTTCTTAAAAAATTAACACAAACCTATTGTGCAACCAAGCAATTCCATTCCCAGGAATCTACTCAAGAAACATGTAAATATATGTCCACATAAAAACCTGTATACAAATGTTCATATCAGCATTACACATAAATGTGAAAAGCTGGAAACAATCCAAATACCCAAATACCCAAAATATGATATACATACCTAACTGAATATTCAGTAATAAAAAGGAACAAAGTACTGATACATGCTACAATATGGATGAAACCCAAAAACTTTACACTAAGTGGGAAAAAAAAAAAAGTTGCAATCTCACATGATTGCATTTATGCAAAATATCCAGAAGAGGTAAATTACAGAGACAGAAAGCAGACCAGCAGTTGTCTACAACGGGCAGTAGGAGCAGAAATTAGCTGCAAACAAGCACAAGGGAATTTTTGAAGTGACAGAAATGTTTTAAAACTAGATTATGGTGATAGCTGTACAACTTATAAATTTATTAAGACTAAAATTTGAAGGCACAATTATTTAACTGAAACTCTTACTGAAAACTAAAATTACACAGCAATAAAGATAGACTATGATTCATCAACAGTATTATAATCAAGTAAATGTTAACTGTGCCATGATTTGACTATCCTAAATAGTGTTTCAGGTAATGACACAAAAAAAGAATTCAGTATGTGAAATACCAAGTCAACATTTTTACCCTAGCATTATAATATATATATATAATTATTATTAAATTTATATATATTTATTATTAAATATTATTTTATTAACATTATTAAATATATTTTTATTAATATTAATTAATATATTATATTAATAAACATTATTAAATATATATTTCTCTATATAACAAATAAAAGTCTGTATAACATATTAATAAATATAATAACAGTCCACTGAAATTTACCCAATAACCTGGTAACAAATAAAACTATGATTGCAAGTCATTCAGTAATAGGGTGATGATCAAATTACAGTACATTGATATGAAGGACCACAGTGCTGCTATTTAAAAAACAGCTTTTTCTTTTTTAAATTTTTTTTAAAGATTTTATTTATTTGTTTGAGAGAGAGACAGTGAGAGACAGCATGAGCGAGGAAAAGGTCAGAGGGAGACGCAGACTCCCCATGGAGCTGAGAGCCTGATGTGGGACTTGATCCCGGGACTCCAGGATCATGACCTGAGCTGAACTGAGCCACCCAGGTGCCCTAAAAAACAGATTTAAAGTATTCTTACTGACTAAAACTATGCTCATGTTGTGCTAGGTGAAAGATGAGGCAGGAAGTACAATTTTACAAACACATACACACCCTTCCGAAATACTCAAGTGTCCATATGCATGTGTGTGTCAGCTGTGGGCTCTGTGAGTTAGGGGATGATAGGATTTTTCTTTTTTTTATTGTTTCTGCATTTTCTTTGTGTTCCTAATATTGCAATTAAGAAAAACAGAATTCAGCAATTTTTATGTTTTTCCCTTTGCCTACAGGAAATTAACTTTAACCTAAGTTACAAAACGAGGACTATGAAGTAGGTAAGTTCTTTATTGCACATGTGAAATGTCAATGCCTAAGCGAACAATGCTGAAACATTAAGAAGTGGTAGAAAATCCAAACAAAATACTTATCTGTTATTCAGTATTTTGAACTTTAAAATATTAACCAAAGGTAAGAAATTTCTTTTTACTATCTCTTATTCTTTTAAAATGAGGAGACACAATGCAAAATGTAAAATAGTATTTACCAGAACTGAACCCACAAATGAAAGACCCAGGGTACCAGAGTGGTAAGAGAGTAATTAAAAAGTAGTATTATTTTATTTTGCCAGAGAGAGTCAATTCCTTATTTTGTTAGTGTCAGTAATTTATAAAGTAATAAATTAAATATTAAGTGCTTCTGTTTCAAAAGATTGTTTCCTATGAGATAATGAAAATATTTTCCTGAAGTAACCAGTAAATGTTATTTATAAATGCAGAATGCTTATGTTATACCTCAGTAACAAGAAGATATAAGTAATGTTTTAATGTTGCTAACTATATTACCTTCAGGAGCAACTGCAGAAGGACAAACTTCTTTGAGGAGATCGCCTAGTGTATGCAACTGTCCATCTGCAGCCACAGGACGAAAAAGCTTCTGAATGAAAGGTCGTTCGGTTGTTGTCTATTTGAAAAATGAAAAAAAGAATTCAAACAATTAAGTCTTTGTTGCTATGAATTAAAATTAAGAGATCAGAAATTTAAAGCTGCCATCAGATGCCTTCTGAAAGCATATAATATCACAGATGTGGTAATATTATAAAAAATGCATAACATAAAATCAAGTAAATCTAATCATGAGGAAGCAATCTGATAAATCCAAAATGTGTGACATTCTAAAGATAAGTGGCCAAAAAAGGAAAGAAAAGGAGAGAAAAGAAAACATAAGACAACTGGCTTCAATTCTTCAAATAAGTAAAAGGCAGAACAAAACAATACAAAAAGTTTTAAAAAGACTGGTGAGATATAAAAACTAAATACAAAAATAAATCTTGATTGAATACTGGGTTGGAGGGAAAAATCAGCTATAAAAGACATTTTTGAAATAACTGAGGAAATGCAGAATGAGCATTAGAGAGTATTACTGAATTAATGTCAAATTCTTAACGGTTGTAAGGATAATGGTTATAAGGACAACATCCTTTAAGAAATTCATGCTTACATATTTAGGGATGAGGAGCCATGCTGTCTGTCTGAAACATACCTTCAAATGGTTGAGAGAGAGTGCACATGAGCGGCGCATGACTGCAAATGTGGGAAAATGTTAACTACTGGTGAATCTAGGTGAAGAGTATACAGTTTTGTTTTATTATTTATTCTATACATTTGAAAATTTTTAAGAAACAGATTCATAAATAAAGAACAAACTGATGGTTGCCTGAGGGGAGTAAATGGAGGAATGGGAAAAGTGGATGAAGGGGAGTGGGAGATACAGGCTTCCAGTGATGGAATGAAGAAGTTACAAGTATAAAAGGTGCAGCACGGGGAATATAGTCAATGGTACTGTAACAGTGTTATGTGGGAACAAATGGTAACTACATTTGTGGTGAAAATAGCATAATGTATAGAGTTGTGAAATCATTATGTTGTACACTTGAAATTAATGTTAACGGTGTATATCAACTCTACTTCAATTTAAAAAATTAAAAAGAAAAACAAATCCCCCCCAAAATTCAAAATACCAGATATAGTATTTCCTCTGACAACTGTGATTAGCACTATGTCATAACTTACTGCTAATAATTTCAATGTATTTCCAAACACTTTTAAAATGCAGTTTCATTTATAGGAGCATAACAACGATGAGGAGCACCTCATGACGCACAGTGCAGAGGCCCTGGAATCAGCCAGTGTATGAACAGCACTACCACTTATGTACTTTATGATTCCATATCCCGTTTCTTTGGAAAATTGAGACATTCTGTATCTCTTAAAAGTTTGTTGTAGAAAAGAGTGAAGAACTATGTATGCCAAGCACACAGAAAGACAGCGACACAGAGAGAAGATGAATGAATTAATGTTAAAGATAATAAACACCCTGCCCCCAACTGCTATTTCATTTTAAGATGTTAAGTTTTCATATTTTAAGTTTCCAGGGATAAAAAAACCCATAAAAACATATAAGAAGAGAGCAATGCTTTATATAAGTATCCATATTTATAAGTAATTATACTCATATACTCATATTTACATATAGTATTTTTAAAAATTTTTACGTCTTTAAAATAAATATTCATATAGTGTTTATGAGAAAATGATTTCAAATTCCTAAACATTAAAGACAAGTTTGCCTGTTTTTTTTAAATCACAGAGGTAAAGCTCAATTATAATATGTCACTATTATAGATCTGGTATAAAAAATAATCTGTATTTAAGTATGGACATAAAATACAATGTAAGAAAAACAGACATGATACAAGCTTGTGAGCTACCTTTCCCAGCCTTTTTTTTTTTTTTTTTTTTTAAGTAAGCTCCACACCCACAATGGAGCCTAAGGCTGGGCTCAAACTCAGCCCCCTGAGATCAAGATCTGAGCAGAGATTAAGAGTTGGAGGACACTTAACCGACTGAGCCACCCAGGCACCCTTACCTTTCCCAGCTGTACACTATGTATTCAGTGGAAACATAAATAAATGTTAAGAACTGTATTCCAATAATAGTTAAGTATCCGTGGTAAGTATGTAAAAAAGCCTTGATACTTGATAAACTCTTGACAATTAATATGCACTGAATATAAAGCAATTCATTTCACTAACTGAACTCGCTATGGATTTTTAAAAACAGTATGACTGATATCCTTCAATTTGGGAAGTTCATACATTTCACGCAAGATGAAACTGAGAACGATGTGATGAACAATCGAAGATTAACTATGTGAAGATAATAAGGGTTTAGGGAGTTCAGAGAAGAAATAAGTGAATAGAGGACTGCAGTAATAATTTAAAATAGCCACCACCCACTTAGGGCTTTCTATCTTGCAGGCAATGAAGAGGCTTTTAAGACTTTTTAGCAAAGGAAGTGACGTGATGAAAGAGGCTTTTTCTGAAGGCTAATGGAAAGCAGCACAGTGTACGATGACTTGGTTAAGAAGTAACATCAGGAAGACGGGTGAGAGGCTGTCTGAATGATGCAAGCCTATGTGATGACAACCGGGGCTAGGTCAGAGAAAAAGGAGGGTCAGGCCTATAACCCCAATTAAAAAAAAAAAAAAAAAAAGTTAAAATGCATCATCCATAGTCTGAGCTGAAAACACTAGGATTTTCAGCAAAGACAAAAAAACTTTTTAAGATTCATTCCCTCCCTACTTAGTGAAAAATTTGTGAGGTTAATAGCTATAATACAACATATTATAACAACCTGAAAACAATAGGCTAAAAAGGCCCCAAGTGGGCTTAGCGAGATATTAAAAAACAGAAAGCGTCCTCCTCTCTTACTGCTAGAAAAATGGCCTACAATTTCCCTGTAGTTCTTTTTCCTATTCTCCCAAGTATAGATACTTACAAATACAAATCTGAGCAGTGATAATAAAGGTGTAACTTCGACAACCTTTATAATGATGTTATTTGCTTGGGTGGAGGAGAAAAGGCTTGTACTATTACAAAGTCTAAGTCCATTCTGTAGCACAGTAAGCAAGAAAACTCTCATTAAAGTGCTATTTCTCATGTAACAAAAACCTTATTTTAAAAGAACAATTAGGGACACGTGGGTGGCTCAGTCAGTTAAGCTGCTGTCTTCGGTTCAGGTCATGATCCCAGGGTCCTGGGATTGAGTCCCGCATGGGGGCTCCTTGCTTGGCAGGGAGCCTGCTTCTCCCTCTGCCTGCTCTGCCTGCTGCTCCCCCTGCTTGTGCGTGCGCTCTCTCTCTCTTTGGGACAAATGAATACATAAAATCTTAAAAAAAAAAAGAAAAAAAGAACAGTTACCCAAAATACCTCAATCAAAAATGTAATAAACATCTATTCAATATTTATCTGACTGCCTTTATATTCTTAGTCCTTAAAATTTAGTATTCTAGAAAAGAACAGTTAAATGTCTGAGTAAGTTACACCAAAGATTATGAAAACGACTCAGTTTCGGGAGTTACTGCCCTTAAAACAAAAGCCCTTCACAGAGAGATCATACATTCAAGTACTGCACAGAGGTTTGGGAGGGCAATGGGAAGGGAGGTTAGTTTCATGCAAATTTCTTGGCAGATCTCATTAAACCCGAGCTGAAGTTCAGCAGAGAAGACTAAATTATGCTAGTATTTAAAAGCTATCTTCCTCCTGAAATAGCAAGAATTTTAAAGACAGAAAAAAACTCCACCAACATGAATTCTGCCAACTTTGATTTAGTACACATGAAACTGGACAGTGCTAACAATACCATGTAATCTGAATCTCAGCCTGACAGACTAGAAAGCTGCACCAACAGTAATATAATACAATACTCACTTAATCTAGCCATTTATTTGTAAATATGCAAACTATTTTCAGTGGCTTCCAAGAAGCAGTACTGCTCTCTCATAAGAAATAACAGGGCTTCAACACGTCGTCTTTGAAACTGCCCTAATTACCTTAACGTGCATGTTACTCTTTTAAATACATCAAACAGAATATAAATTTGGGATGCTACTGGCTGGCTGCTCCTCCTCCCTCCTCTGTTCATGTACCCTCACCAATGAAACAATAATTTTTCCTGTATGGAAACATTATATGGTTGATTTGCCTTGGAGAGATACTGAGCAGAGGCAAAGGAATCAAATTTATAAAAATGATAAACTAAATTTGTAAAAGTTTAGTGAATCTTATTTTCTTCAAGTGACAATTCAAGAGTTACAGTCAAATTCATAGCGATAATGCGTGTTACAACTATAGTGTAAACTGCAGGCTAATCATATTATTAATCTTATATCTAAGAAACAAGAGACAGGGAAAAGGCATATTTCCAACACAGCCAAACAGGTTAACCAAACAGGTTAACATTAAAGCTGATAAAACAAGAAATGCTGGTAGGCTTTAAAATAAGACAATGTATGGACTTTAAGAGTACAGGCACAATGGATACATCATTAAGACCAAGTTTGAATCTTATGACTTACATAAAGTACATACTGCAACAAAAATGCAAAGCAGTTGCTGAAGAGCACAGGCTTTGGTGTCAGAAAGAACAGGTTTTTAAGCCCAGGTTCTGTCATTTATTACAGACCCACCGGTACAGTTACCTGACTTTCTTGAGCCTCAGTTTCCTCAACTGTAAAACAGGATTAATTTTACATATGTACACATATATGCACAGGCATAAATGGAGAGAATATCTACATTGTAGAGTTTTTGAATAAAATATAAGCACAGCACAATCACGGTACATATGACCACCTAAACAGACATCCTAAAATATGATCAACAGTTTTAGTTTCATCCCTATTTAGCAGACTTAAGTTTATTCATATCTTATTTTCTCTTAAGTTCACTTGTCTGGATGCTAAATCAGGAAATTCAGTTTAAAGGAATACGGATACAGTGGACCTCATGAAATTAATTAAAAACAAAACAAAACAAAACAAAACCTTTTCGTTCTGTATCAGATCCTATGAAGAAGATGAAAAGACAAGCCATAGACTGGGAGAGAGTATCTGTATCCACA